GGAACGCAGAGAAAAGAAACTACATGGTGTATCTGCAGCAGCTCAACTGGATGCTTTCATCTTTCCCAGCTGCGACAAAGCATCTCTCTCCTGCATTCTACGGTCACAGTAGGCACTGCAACCTTCCCATAATTTGACTTCATTCCCAAAGGCGCACTCCTCCATTTTCTCCCAAGGCAGAGTACCAACCCATTTATCACATAATTATCTTACAGATAATCTCTGAGAAGCATGGAGCATTCTGAATTTTCTGTGTTGCTTATACAACTCAGTATTTTATTAGCAGCTTTTATATATGAAAATGTTAGTGAAAGATAATGCTTGGTAGAAGCAAATGCTGCAAAATTCAGTTTGAAGACTTGTGGGAATAAAAATACTAGTTTCACCAGGTCTCTATTTTTCATACAAAACTCTCTGAATGTGCTTGTTCCCATCTTTATCTATAATGCTCTTAGCTGTTTTGGTTGGGCAATGCTATTAGACAGAATGTCAGTCAAATCAAACTCAGTGGTCATTTTGGGAGGCCATGCCACAGCTGATTAATATAATTGAATCATATCCATAGTGGACTCAGGAACAGACTAATTGAAATGGATATGCAGGTTAAGAAACATGACCTGTATCACTGCAGTTAGTTTCTTAGCCTCCTACACATTGCAACCATGGCTATGATAATGCTACCATGTATTTCATTACATAACTTTAGTCTAAATTTATTGCAAAATCAAAAAAGACAGAAAAATGAATTAGATGTGAGTCACCAAAAGCCATTTAATCCATAGCATGCATCACTAACACAGCAGATTTTGTAGTCAAAGCATTATAGGCTGAATCTTAGTCTTCTTTTTTAAGTAAGTAAGTGGGATGCAGTGCTAAGAGTATTGGACTAGGACTTCAAATCCTCACTCAGCCATGAAGCTTTCTGGGTGAACTTGGACCAATCACTGTCTTTCCACCTGACCTACCTTACAGGGTTTTTTTTTGAGGATAGAATGGAGAGAGAAAAGAATCATTTACTCCACCTTGAGCTTCATGGAATAAAAGTGGGGTCTAAATGAACTAATAAAATAAATAATAAAAATAACTAGGTATGCAAAGTAATTTTAACACAATGTGGAAAAAAATATTTTTTGAACAATAAAGCTGACAATTTCTAAAGACCAAGGGAAAACCAGAGCACACATATGTTATGGGACGCAATAAAGTAGCCCCCGTTTTTTCTGATTATCTTGTTTCTAAATGGTTGGTCCGTTCTGCTCTTTGGTTAAAAAATGCAAGCAGATGAAATAGAATACTGTACTGCACTGAAGCAGAATATTTTTAGAACCAAGCAGATTCCATTTGTTATCAAGAATCTTGAATATTAATGGGATCTGATATATTTTTGAAGCATTGCTTTTCTAAGGGAGAAGGGCAAGTCCAAGACTCTGCAGCCTTCTCTGCACAGTCAAACTAGGATGAGGAGTTGGGGATATTCCATTTCCTTTTTGTCTGAATACATTCTTTAAACTTATTTGATCTACTGACTAATTTGGTAAGCCATCCCAATATTTAAATAGCACATGGAAAGACAAGAACACATAAACAACATTTATGTTTTGTTTTGTTTTGTTTTGTTTAAAACCCAACCTGCCTTTTTCACCAGCACATGCTGTGCTATATCCTGTTCAATTGTCTACAAGGTACAACTGGGAATGCAGATCTGCATCAATGAGGAAGAGAGGAAGGCTTAGATCTATGACTCTTGTTTTTCTTAAGGTAATTGCAGCTCTGTGTGTGGCAACTGCTATCCAAATCGCAGCAAGCAGAAAGGGAAGATTTATCCTGAAAAGCCTGCCTCACTTAGTTTAGAAGTTCCTGCTGGCAGAAATGGGAATGGGCTATCTGGACCCAACATTGCGACTCCACTTCCATGTGCACAATGGAACATCCTCTCCTGTCCCCTGCACTCATCCACCCAATGTGTCCTCAAAACCAGTCCTGGTGGGTTGGAGGACTCTCTAGAGCAGATTTTGAGGGTACACAGGGGGAAGAGAGGAAATGGTGCAAGTCCCATTGCGCAAGTGGAACCCCACTCGTACAGCATTGGATACAACACCTTTAATAAGTCTTGCCGCCGGGCAGGTGATCTTCAGGGTGTGTGTCTGTGGCTATGCAGGGCAGGAATAAACCTGTCTGCAATCCCAATAGCAGCTTCTCCCTCAGTGGCTGTAATAAATATAAGGGCAGGGGAGAAATTTCGTTGTGCACTATGCATAAGTGAATTAGTTAATTTTATTTTTCTTCTATCAGTTATTAATATACAACTTAATTCTGTAGCTTCACCCTATCTGTACTTTTCATATGCAGTCTTGAAAACTTGAAGAATAAAATTACAAAATAATAAAAGAATAATCATCATAATAATCACAGAAAGCTGAAACATGTGGATGTCAGGCAGCAGAGGAACCAACTTCCCCTCATATTTTCTAAGTGGTGTACATAGAGAGTACAAAAAAACCCACACTGATAATAAAATCATTTAAAATTAGTCATAAAAGCTGAAAGCTTAAGTGTAACATGCCATTTGGCTCTAAGGGCAAAATGCAGAGGGAGCCCTCAGCTACGGGAGGAAGAGGCAAGTGGAATAGAACCCCAAGCTGAGGGGGAAAGGGCAATGCCTATTTAACGTGTTTTTGTTTTTGTTATATTATGTATTTTCTATTCTTATTTTGTTTTTGTGTTGTTGTTTTTTGCTGTCAACTGCCATGGGATCTTCAGATGAAGGCGAATCTACAAATTTAATAAATAATAGCAACAAATAATTAACTTTTTCTCCCTCCATGCTCTAGCAGTTTGTCTCAACCTCCTCCCATTCTTCTTATGCCGTTTTGTGAAACGTCCCTGGGGGGGGGGGTGTCACAGCACCGGGGTTTGGTTTCTTTTGAAAGGAGGCCACCAGGTGCTGATGGTGATTTCTAACATCGGGGTTTGTTTCCAAGAGGTAGCGACAGATAGTTTAAACACACTAACTGCAAACCTCACTGCCCTGCATCAGATCTGTGGAGAGAAGCAGACCCTCAAAGCCATTTCCAGAGCACCAAGTGAGTCCGCTGTCTCTTTCCCTGCTTCACCTCTGTCTCCCTAAATGCTTCTACTGTTTCTCCTTCACACCAAGCTTGATGAAAGTGGGGGAATTAAGATAAGCCATCTTCTTCAACCATGCCCATGCCTTCTTGGCACACTTGCTTGTAATGTATATAATTGCAATTTCTGTACTGCAAACAGTATCATCACGAGTGGTGCATTAATATTTGTAGGAGGTGCCATCTGTCTCCCAGGGGCAGCGTGGGAAGAAGAGCCCTTGTTGTTACTGTTAAGATATCTGACTGTGGTTAGATGTTCCAAGCAACAGTTGTGTGTTTAGATTCCTGAAGTAAACATGAAAAACTGTGCTTCTTCTTGCTGGAAGACACGGAACTGCTCTGAATCTCTAATTACAAGAAATATGTGCCTTTGTTAATGACTGGAGCATCTGCAGTCATTCTGGTCCAGTTAAGCTGCTCCTGTCCAACACTTCCTGGCAGAATTTCTGTCGAACGCTCACCGTGGGACAACTCTGAGCATAATAAAAAGGGAGGATATTGGAAATTCTTCTTTGCTGCAGTATTTTGGTTTTGTGAATCATTTTATCACTGGCTTTTTTTTGGTCAAGTGAAGTTAGAACCAATTTCCATTTGGTGATAAACCTTAAACCTACATTCCAGTCAGATGAAAGACCAAAGTCCCCTCACAAGTATCTTCCATGTACATAATTCACACCAGAGTGTGATACTCCCATCATCTCAGGAGTTCTGAAGACCCATATTAAGATAACAGCAATCATTTGGAGGTGACAGATTACACAAACAGCAGCTCCATGTGATGCTAGCTTTGCTCACCTGATAACTCCTATTGCTCTGCTGAGGGACAATGCTCATAATTCACCATTTTGTGTGCATCAGTCCTAAAAATAAATAAAAATAATCACACTTAAACTATATCAAGATGCACTTCAGTTTATCTTACAAGGCACTGAGGCAGAGAAAAGAAAGAAGGAAATGGAGGTAAAGAAGGTAACAGTTCTTTTTTCTGGCTCAAGGAAAAGGCATAAGAAAAATTACATTTTTCTGGGTTCCCCTCCTTTTGCTTTCCATAGTATTGGGCGTATGGGGGTGGGGAGTTAAACAAACAGCACAACTCTCTGCCTCTCCCCAGATTTAATCCTGATGTCTATTTCACAGTTATAACTGTAAGTGCCAGGACTCAGGGAGAGAAATAATGAATTTTGCAAGTGAAAAACCAGACAACTGGGGATATGATCTATAAATACAGAAAACTGCAGTAGAGTTTCAACACTGAAGTAGCAGTGAGGATGGCTCAGTGCCTCTCCCTTAGACCTCATGTTGAGGAAGATAAGCAGTTTGTAATATGTTCCAAAACAACAACAGCATTTGCTTGTTTCGCATTGGCCTGCTAATTATTCTGGGCAATGCTCACAATGCCCTTGATGTCTTTATCTGAAAGGCTATTGCAGAGTCATTTTTTAATTTTAATTTTATTTTATATGACTTTTATATGTTTGTGATATAATGATATGAATGATGAAGCAGCTGGAAAACTGGAAGAGATTTTTCATGCCTGAAAAATATATTGAACTATGCCAGTGTTCTTCAACCTTGGGTCCCCTGTTGGTGTTAGGCTGCAACGCCCAACATCCCTGAGTATTTCAGGGAATAATACTTTTGACAAATTGGAGGACAGATTTAAGCAGAGCACTATTTAAAATTGCCAGCCTGCTTCCTTTTGCATTAGAGGAAGCATTAGAATCAATTGAAATAAAGGGGGACATATTTATATATATTATATATGAAGTGAGTAATATGCTAATATGCTATTCCCTACTTCATAACAGAGAAAGAACAAATATGGGAAGCTGTTGTATAATGAGATAGGCCATTGGTCCATCTAGCTAAAATTATTGGTGATGCTGAGGATTGAACCTGAAACCATTTGTATACAAAACATGTGCTCTACCACTGAGCTACAGTCCTTCTCCCTAATAATAACAATAACAATAACAATAACAATAATAATTTATACCCCACCCATCTGACTGGATTTCCCCAGCCACTCTTGGCGGCTCCCAACAGAATATTAAAAACACGATAAAACATCAGTCATTAAAAACTTCCCAAACAGGGCTGCCTTCTAAAAGTCAGATAGTTGTTTATTTCCTTGACATCTGATGGGGGGGGGTGTTCCACAGGGCAGGTGCCGCTACCAAGAAGGTCCTCTGCCTGGTTCCCTGTAACCTCACTTCTCGCAGTGAGGGAACCGCCAGAAGGCCTGCGGCGCTGGATCTCAGTGTCTGGGCTGAACGATGGGGTTGGAGACACTCCTTCAGGTATACTGGGGAAGGCCATTTAGGGCTTTAAAGGTCAGCACCGACACCTTGAATTGTGCTTGGAAACATACTGGAAGGAACTTAGAGCAAATGGATGATAACATATATTACCCTCCTCCCCCTGTCTGTGTGATATATGGCTGGCAACAGAGACTCCTTCCAGGTGATCTCTGAAGGAGGTTTCAGAGAATAACTCCAGGCTAACCAGTTAATTGCAAGTCTGTCAACACCATTCAGCTATTTGCTCAGGAAGGATTTAATTAGTGAAGTTAACTGGAACACAAAAATCGCTACAGCACCGTTTGTCTTTGATCCATCACGTTGAATATTACATGTCTAATTTCCTTTCAAGACTACTCTGAACTCTTCTTTTACATCCTTGTCAGTTAACCGGGACTCATAGGTGAAACCCATGAGAAGTATTTTGTGATCACTTGCTGGCAAATGACTAATGCATCCCCCTTTAAAACAACAACAATGTAAGGTTTCTTGGTCTTAATTCCATTGCAGAATCAAGCCAGGCATCTGTCTTGCTTTAAATAAAAAGTATGTCAGTATAAATCATTCATGAAGAGGTGTTCTGTTCTAGCACAGATCTTCTCTGCTATCTCTGGCTGTTTGAAGACAAGCAGGTCCCCCACCCGGGCCAAATATCATTGCAAAAGTTAAGTGGCATGATCTTAGAGTGGGAATTTCAGGACTGACCATACCATTTGACTGACTGAGGTGCCTGACATAGGCAGCAGATGCTGGGGGGGGGGGGCAGTTAGTAGTGGAGTGGTGTTGGAGGGCAGAGTTGAATATGGCACACCCATAAGCTTATGCGACCCATAAGCTAGGTTGCTGCCCTCAGGTGCAATGGAGGATGCTGCCTTGTTGCCATTGTTGACGCCAGTGAAATGCCAGTCTGGTCAGCTTCTGTACGTGGAATCGGGGCGTGTGTGTTCACATGTGCCATATTGTCCTTTGCCTCAGGCACCAAAATGCTCTGGGATGGTCCTGGATTACTCCATCATTCATCAGGTGTTCTGATTCTGGAGATCCTGACAGCTTCATTCAGTAAACAAACAAACAAAATCCTTTGTGAGAAGAGCTCATTTGTTAATATAAATCCCAAGCTCTTCTGTTTTATTAGGGAGATTTTGCTCAACTCTGGCAATGCAAGAAGAAAATGGGAAGTATTTCCATTTTAGTTGCATTTCTAGCTATGCCCATTTTGTTTATGCATGTCCTCTCCAATTGATTTGTCTCCTTCCTCACCTCTTCCCTCCTTTTGGCCTCTGTCTTATTTGTTTATTGCATTTCATATCAAAGAGCAACAGCTACTGTTGGAAGCTGCTCAGTAAAAAAACCTGCTTTACCCCCACAGGATTGTTTTTTTGAATTTTTTTACATGAGCTCGTTTGTGCAGGCTGTGATCTTTTATTTTTAAACAGTTTTTTGTGCACGAAATCCTTATAAATGACAGTTCTGTGATAACAGTTCACAGGGGAATGGCACAAAGCAGCAGGCAGTTATGTTACACAATGTAAGAACTTGCTGGATAGTGATTTAGGGCTCTGTAGCATATCACTCTCCAAATACTATTATTCCATCATCTCAGTTCCATTCATCTGAGGCTCGGCTTGCATACTGTATGTTGCGATATGATAAATTTGGCACACTTCTACATAATAATAATAATAAATTGCTTCCGCATTGGTACAGAAGATATATTCCATCTTTGACAGTTTGTGCTGGGTTGTGTTTTTTTTATAGGATGCATTAAATTATTATGTGAAAATAGCAAAATGTAGCTACCCTGAAAATTGTGCTCTTATGTGATTAAACACCATGAGGATATCTTCTAGTAAGCTGAAATATTTTCCTTCCCCTTCTCTCTGTAGGTTTTATAATCCCCATCTTTAAAAAGATCTAATTTTGCTGCTGCACAGCAGATCTGAGTTGAGAAAGGGAGTTTGTTCTGTCATGCTGTGCGTGAAAAACACAACATTAGAAGCACTATGCACTAATCTTCCCAAGACTTAACAGCAGGTGCTTCAATCAAGGAACATAGGTAGTTGAAGCAAAAACACATTGAAGATCAGGCTGATATCCATTCAGGAAACAAATACAAGAATGCAAAAAGAGCTGAGGTCAGGAATACTGCTGCAGAGAGGTGTTTCTTTTCATTTAGAGGAAATGTTCTTCACCACTCTGCAAAATAATTATTGCAACTACATGCAGAAACAGTCTGATCGCAAAAGCACCCAAGATGTAACAAGAAATCCCAAATGGAGGCTTGGCTGGACACTGAAATACATGGCCAGCTTTTGGTTTCTGACAATTTGTCAGTAACTGGCTTTCACTTGTGGCAAAGAGGGATTCCTGTGCTAGATCACAGCTGACCTAAAATGTGTCCTCAACAGCTCAAAACAAACCTCAGTGGATGCCTTGTGTGAAATGGCAGGTTCTCATTCAAAAATTGGTCTTCAAGAGGGATGCCAGAGAAACAGACAAAATGTAATAAGGCTTCTCCCGTGAAAGGCAAAAACAGGGGGAATGATTGATCAGGGATAAGGATTACAAAATAGATACTCTTTCTGGTAAATAAGGACAGTGGAACTTATAAGATAATAAAATATCTCATTGGAACTTGGCTCCTCACACTGCAACCCTTTACATGTCTACTCAGAAAAAGTCACATTGATGTCAATGGAGCTTACTCCCAAGTGAGATTGTTTAGATTTGTCATCTGCCAGGGGACCTGTTTATTGGACATTGAGTCTGATTTTAAACATTGGCTGTTTAACAATCACTCACTCTGATTGGTTTTTGAGGAGGCTACATGATGTTGTGTCAAAGCAAGTACTATTCCTCCATTTCCACGTCAATCTCCTGTCACTTTCTTTACTGCAAAAAATTAATAAATAAAAATAAATAATTGTGCATCCTGAATTTACCACTATGTGATTGAATCCTTCCCCCAAATAGCAGCCTATGAAACACATGAGTCTTGTACTGTAGCCAAGAACTTATACATATGTTAAGGTGTCCCTCTATTGTGAAACTTTTCTGAGAACAGGTTTTTAGGCACTACACTTTAGTTTCAAGCACCATATGCTCTTTATCCTTTATGCAGCTATTTCTGGTGTTTCTCCCACATGCTTGGGATCAACAGATGAACAGTAATTATGATTAAAGTATTTTGTCGGCTAAGGCTGCAATACTATACACATTTATCTGGTAGTTAAGTCCCGCTGAACTTAATGAGACTTACTTCTGAGTAAGCAAGGATTGCACTCTAAGAAGCTTATTTTGAGAATTTGAGAAGCTAGACATACCTTTGACATTCAGCTATGGATTACTAGACTGTCATTGAATGCAGTGGGACTTTTTTCCAAGCAGAGTTGCCTGGGAGTACACTTTTTGATGCAAAAAAGAAGCTGTTTTCTTAACATCCTTCCTTCTAACTCAGGCATCCCCAACCTTCGGCCCTCCAGATGTTTTGGACTACATTTCCCATCATCCCTGACCACTGGTCCTGTTAGCTAGGGACCATGGGAGTTGTAGGCCAAAACATCTGGAGGGCCGCAGGTTGGGGATGCCTGTTCTAACTCTTTTATTGGCAGGCCTGCCATATTTTATATTTTATTATTGTTCTTTAGTTGAAAGCTAATTCACAATATCCTTATTTTCAACCTGGAATACTTAACCTAGAATGCTCTACCTAGAATGCTGTAATTTTACCTGAAGGAGAGGGAAAGGTTTTACTCAGAGAGCACTGAAGCTTTAAGATGCAATTCTGAAGCTCATTTAAACAGTGTGCGCCCTAACTATCCCCAGAAACATTTGCATGAAGAATATATGTCTGCATGGAGTGTCACTCTTTGCTGGACAGTGCAAATGTGTCAGCATTAATACAAGGAGGCACACTCACCAAAGTGTAAGAACAGACAACAGGAGATTCAGTGGTAGCAAGAAATCCATGTCTTCTGCCTCCTTCCATTTAGCCCTCTTCCCTTTGCTATCTCCCAGAAGAATGGCACATTTCCCTGGAATGTCGCTAGTAAGCATTATTACTGGCCAGTGATCAGAGATGGTGGGAAATGTAGTCTGACAACATCTGGAGGACCACAGGTTTCCAATTCCTGGTATAAATATTACTTCCTCTGTCCCTCTCCCTATACAAAATATAGTTTTTCAAACATTATGAACTGCAAACAATTTTAAAGCAGATCTCATTTTACAAATCACATTTCGCCCAATGTTCGGGAAATAAATCACACTAATGGTTTTGAGATTTCTGATGTATTGGAGGGAGGAGGTTAGAATGTATTTGTGTCTGTTGTCAGAGGAAGTGTGCTTGATTAAACACCAAGGGGCAGAAAATTTTCAGAAGAGGTAGAATTTGCCTGTGCAGTAAATATTTTCCACGGTATATTAGCAGCACAATTTCTGTTCCTTTAATAAGCTATGCTTTTTATTTTCAATTAAAAACAACAAAAATGTTTTTTAAAGTAAAAATGTAGCCTATTTTGGAAAAAAATTATTACACCTGAGAACCAATGTTAATATTTTTGGGGAGTGTTTTTCTAATCCCCTAAAAAAAAACAAACCACCTCAAGAAAACTGTCCTTGGTTAGAGAACAGTCTCTGAACGAAGT